ATTTTAATTTATATTTTTGGTAATTAAAAACTAAAATATATTTATTAAAGGTATTGAACACATTGCCCTTAGAAGTGGTAGATTGTCTTAGTTACAACTTCATTGATTAGTTTCAATTCAAAGTTGTCATATTAAAATTAAAAATACGATAAAGCCTTAATACGGTATGAAGAAATAACATGAAAATATTTTTTGTTAATTTAAAAAATGTCAATTACTTTTTTCGAAACACATTCAAGACTCGTAGGTTATACTACATATGATCAAGTAAAAAAAAAAAGAAAGATTTTTGAATACATTTTTGTTTATTCATCCGTAACCTCTTATTATTGTTTTCACTTTTTATTTAAAAGTACGTGTTTCATGGTTTGTATACAATTTTTGACTAAAAATGATTTCAAGGATAAAGTTTTATAAAAAATATATGTATCAGTAGTATTCAATATACTTCTTTTCATAAATGTGTTTGTGTAAGTAGAAATAAATAAATAATATCTAAAGTTATTGCACTAAGAACACATTAATAATAGCCAATATGTATGTTTACTTTTATTTTTATTAAAGCACTCTGTAACATGATTGGATAAAATTATTTATTTAGTTCAAAATTATTTATATTTTATATTTTTGGAAACGAATTACCTAATTTAAAACTTTCGACCGTCTTGAAAATGTCAATTTTGAACATATCAAAAAACTGTAAAGATCAATGTTGCTCAAAAAAAAAAAAAATAGAGCAAATCGAATCCAGTGTCAAAAATGGTGGTTCCTATTTAAGAAATTTTTATTTTACTGCGCATGCACAGATAAATAAAAGTTAAAAATTAGAATTTATCAAAAACATGTATTTATAAGTCCCGTACCCTGTAAAAAACCCGAATTAAATTCAAGGTCTTGCGTTCGAAATATTTCCTGTTACCTTTAAAATTGAACACATGGTATTCTTAATCGAGTTACATTGAGTTTTCTGGTGGCTGTAACGAATTCAAAATCCAAACCCACAATCTGCAGTTCCTAGATAAGTATTCTTTAAATATTTTTTTTCGATGGTTACAATATTTTAAGTGGAATCAGTGGGGATTTCGAGGTAAGCCTACATAATACAACCAAAAAAAATTTATAAATAATAATTCAGTTTTGACATCGTTTGAATGAAAAATGTGTATTTTTTGTTCGAGAAGGCATTAAAAATAGACATAAAAATTATGTATATAATTAAATCCTCCCACACATAAGAAAGTTTGACTATAGGTTAGTTGCGGCCAAGCATGTCAATAACGATGTCGGAGACCGATGAGTTGCGGTCCGGTAATATTTTAGCATTAGGTTAGTTACGACCCGAAATACTTTTCCATCTAAAATAATTTTATTAATATTACTATTATCAATATTGTTATCATCAATAATAAATTTGTCATTCTAATCAAGCGATCTTAACATCTATAATTTTATCAATGTGTTACTAGAAGCTTAGTTTGAGGCATGTATAAAATGTAGAGGCAATGGAATAAAAACAAAGAAAATATGTGAAAAAAAAAACATTTATAAAGAAAAACATATGAGAAAGCTGACACAAAAAGATACAGAGCAGTTTGATTTCGTTAAATCATTAAGTTTTAAGTTTTTGCTCTATTAATAATCTCAAAAAATGTATTTTACCTATTCATCAGTAAAAAAAAAAAAAAAATAATAATAATAATAAAAATACATTTTTGGGAGACGACTTAGCTAACCTCCTTATGGTGTCTTCTGGTTAATAGTGATAGGCTGATATGAAGTGATAAATATAATGTTGCCGCAATTCATACGCTTATCTCATAAACCCGAGCCGCAGCTCGTACATCTGTTTCATAAACACGGGCTGCAACTCGTAATTAATTTATGGATCAGGCCGCTACTCACTAACACCGGAAAATTGAATATGTGCCATTGATTAGATAAAAATATACTTATATATTTATAGAAATATAGCAGTGATAAACTGTACCACACAGTGGTCTTCAGTAATTCAGTTCATAAATATACAAATTAATATATACGGGTATGATGAATGATATACTTGTCAATCAAATGCATTGTTTGGGCGCTATTTGGCTAATTGAATTTTGGAAAATAGAGGAAAAAAGAAAATAAATTAAATCAATGTCATGGAGTAGGAAGAACTATTATCTAACAAAAGTTGTACAATAGGCAACCAAACGTTCATCACAACCAACACTAATAATTGTGTTGCATTATGGTGTACGATAGTTTGCCTATTGGTTGTTATACAATATTAAATATTGTAATATTTTTAACAAATTTTACTGAGCATGTGTTTCTGTCTCAACAACGGTATGTTACTGAATAAAAAACAAAATATTGTGAAGGGATTAAACAATAGTTTCTGTTTATCATATTTTAATCTTGATAAAATTATGTAGTTCCTTAAAATATAATATGTAAGTATTTTTAATTATGTTTTGAATTGAAATCAACCGACTTATTTTTCATAAGTTCAAAACACTGTTTAAATTTTCTGCACTAAATACCGTAACTAATGCATTTTAATCTTCAGTTTAAACACCCATAAAATGATCTTCAGGTTCAAGAAAATACAACATTTACATTTTCCAATTCAATAAATTATTTATAAGATATTCCATTAAAAAAATTATGTAAATCTAAATTTTTGGGAGTATGAAATTTTTAAGAAAAAAAATCTAACTTCCAAAAATAACTTGATAGCTTTAATTTATTATAAATGTGTCATAGAAGAAGGTCCAGGTTGAAGATTAACAGGTTATGTTGAGGAAAACATATTATGTGAATGTCATGCAATAGAATATGAAATCAATGTTGCAGTCTAATAAATAAAGTGACTAACTTATTAATCCTAAGTATTTTTTATTTTTGACGACTTTTATTATTAAATTTACTATTAAATGGAGATTTAAGGTTTAAGGTTAAAGTGATTCCTGACAAAATAATTAAAATAACTATAATCAATAATAATTAATATTTTTCATTTTTCTTTAAATTTCTAAACTAAATAAAAAAGGAATAAAGACTTCTAATTTTTAGTTTCTCAATATCTATTTATTATTTACTAAATTTATTTTTAAAACGAGCAATCTCCTACTGTTAGTTTCATACTGTAAAATCTCTAAACAAATGTTGTCAGAGCAAAGATAAAAATTTGTCTTTTTAAGCAAAAAATTGGTAAATCATCTTTGCATAACTATATGAAAAATGCTAAAAAATCTGAATGGAGAAAAAAAATTTTTTGATTAAGTTATTCATATTTTTGGTCTTATAAAAATTTAGTGAACATGGAAAATGTACAATTTGAAACTAGATCACTCATTTGCATATTTAATCAATTGTAATGATGTTTATCACGACATTACAATTTGTGTTTATCTAATAAAATAAACTAAATTGTTACGATCAGTGCTCGTAAGTTCATGCATTTGAATATCAATCTTACAAAGTTGTATTTAGTGCTAGATGACATAGAAATCCATTTTAAGATGCATTGTTAAATATATGAAATCTTATTATGCATGTTTTTATATATTAGGTATATTTTTATATTTTTATCAGGCATAACATTCTATTAGAATCTATCAAAAATCGAAATGGAAAATATAAATAAAATTAAAAATAGAAATTGTATTATCTTTTTGATACTTGTACATTTAATAAATAAATTAATTTCAAAAGTTTCGGATTTAAAATGAATTGTTGACAAAGACTTACATTATACGCAGTTCATGAAGGCTCAAGAATAGTATTAAATAGTATTTAAAATCTATTTTTTTTAATTGACATAAAAAATAAAATATAGCTATAAAAAATTAATGGATAGCTCATGTTATTTCAAAAATTATTTATGATTTTTTTACGTAAGTATTTTTTAAGTGAATAATTTTAGATATTTGGTGCATATAAATACGTATCTTTTTAAACTTTTTAAGGCATATTTTGCCAATTTTAAGTACATAAATGCATGCTTATTTGAGCATTCTTTAGGGCACGACAATATAAATCCGTTCTACTTAGTATTTGAAAATGGTTTTATCAAAAATGTTAAGTAAATATTTAAACTAAAATATTACACCAAACATATTGAACGTATTGTATGCCAACTACTATAAATGCATTTTTTTTTGGAAATATTTACAATTCATACTTATAGAACTATATATATTTTATATATCTTTCTTTGTTCTGGTTAGTTCTTGAGTAAAATATGTTTTACTTTTTTGACATAATCATGTGAAGTATAGTAAAAGCTATTATAATTACTTCTGTATTAAATATAATGCAATACGCTTTCAGAATGTATTTTTTGAGATAAAACAATAAAAAAATAAAAATAAAATAAAAATGTATGAATTTTTTTTTTTAATTTCAAATTCAATAAAGAAAATAATATATCATAATCATAAATTATACGATAAAATGACAATACTTAAAACAATGAATCTAAACAAAATTATAACATATATAATAAATTATTATATATATTATAAGCATTAAAATCTTATTTTGACTAGCTTTAGACAAATTTTATAAAGAAAAAAATTTGTATTCAATATATATTTAATACAAAACGTATAAAAGTTAACCTAAGTTGCCTTATAATATGGTTTATACATTTACAAAAAAAAAAAATTATACATCGTTATGATAGTAAATATTTTATCTTAATTTAATTTTGAATTTTGCTAGATTTAAAGTAAATATACAAAATAAACAAAAACGTCTTTAAAAAACTTGTTGCTTTGTTCATATTGAATCAATGTTTTTTTTCTTTAAATAACAAACGTTTATGTTTTGAGCAATTTATCACATTTTTTTCACATAATAATGATTTGGAAAATTATATAAATTATATATATATATATATATGTAAATATATATGAAAAAATAGTTAACTTAATTAAAAAAAAAAAAACACATTTCTATATGTAGATAGTTCTCAAAAATCAGTTCACAAAAACACAACACTCTAATTGTTGCACATGTATATATTTTCGAATAATTTAAAAAAAGAAAAAAAAATTGTTTTAAGTAAAGGTCGAAAAGATAGTTGGAAAGTGTAGGAAATATAAAGGTGAACAACACACGCAAACGTATTACGTTTAATAAGATGATGATCGAGTATTTTCGGATCATCGACCAAGAAGCATATACGATTTAATGATAGGGATAAAAGAAAGAAGTTTCGCGGAAGGTAGGTAAGTAGATAGGTAGGTAGGGTAGGTAGGTGTACATACATATATATTTCACAAGGAGTAAAAATAACAATATAAAACGGTTACGAGGTCGTTGCTGCGGACTAGATGCGGCGACAGGGACGGCGGTGACGTCACGCCGTCACCGGACGACGACGACGACGGCGGCCGACGGTCAGAAGATGTTGGACGACGGTTTTTCCATCTGGACGCCGGCGCCGCGGTGTACCTGGAGCTTGCGTATTCGGGACTGGACGGACTCGCACTTGAGCTCGCTGCACCGCGTGTACCGGCTACCGCTGTTGGCCTTGATCTCGCGGATCACCACCACGTTGCCGTTGCGTTCGCGCATCAGTTCCAGCCCGATGTACCGCTTGTCGGCCGCAGGTTTCGCGGCGCTGTCGTCGAACACCCGGAGACGCGCGGACGGCCGACAGTCGCCGCCGCAGCCGTTGGCGAACTGCGACATGGCCCGCGCCACCGCGCCGTTGCACTCCTTTGGCCACTTCCTGCGGCCGCCGTCGCGGCCGGACGTGTCCCAGACGTCGAAGCACGACGCGGACGTTTTGCCCAGCCTGCGCGTCTGCTGCAGCAACAGGCTATTGGACGCGGCGGGCCGGCACCACGACGACAACGAGCTGGACGACGCGGACGACGAGGAGGAATGGTGATGGTGGTGGTGGTGGTCCAGCGAGTCTTCCAGTGATATGATGCTGGACCGATCGCTGCTCGAGTCGATGGAGAACTCGCTCACGGTGTCGCTGCTGCAGTCGCTCACCGACGAGTTGTCCGCGCTGCTGCTGTTCGGCGTCGACGACGTGGACGGGGCCCGCGGCCGTTGGTGGTGTTGTTGTTGCTGTTGGTACTCGTGGTGGTGCTGCTGCTGCTGCTGGTCGTCCACCACGTACACCTGGCGGAACGTGAACGGGGCAATGTCCAGACCACCCACGGGCATCGTTTGCGTGCCGTTCGCGCGATTCAGAGTCCGGCACGACGACGTCGCCGTGGCCGTGGACGACTCGACCGCGCCGCCGTCGGCCAGTTCGCGCTCCAACCGCTTGACCAGCGACTCCATGTTGTCTTTGAACGATTTGCGCCTCGACGCGCTCATCGCCGGCACGGGCGAGTTGTCGCAGCTCTTAGACAACGCGGAAAATGTTTTATTTTGCTGCAGCTGCTGCTGCTGGTGGTGTTGTTTGACAGGGCTCGACGCGTCTGCCACGTCCATCGACACGGGGACGACGTTGGGTTTCGCGACCGAGTGCATCGCCGACGACTCGCAAGCAACTTTGGTATTGTTGTGACTGTTGTTGTTGATGTTGTTCATGCTGCTGTTGCTGCTGCTGCTTGTGTTCCCGTTGTGTTTTTCATCCGCTACTCTCGACGGCGACTTGTATATCGTCGTCGGCACCCTGAGAAACCATTTGTGCTCCAAACATTCGTTGGCGGTGAGGCGATCCCTGCGGACAGATAGCGTTTGACTTGATTACATTGTTGTTCTGATCGGTGTCGGGGGAGAGGTTATCGAAAAATGTCCGAGGTCTTTCATAACGAATTTTACCAACTATTTATTATTTATTGGATTATTAAAACTCGAAAATAAATTACGACTTCTACAGTGAATGTATGCAATTCCTCTACTCGTTTTTGCTGATAATCTTTTTAAAATGCTACATATACTCAATGTATTATAACATTAATGTAAATATTTTAAATGACAAGCTGATGACAGGCAGATTAAAATCACTCGAGGTACTACCATCAGACATGCACGAAATTTAAGCAAATCACAAGAAAATCATTTGGAAATCGATGGCGTTATTTTACAACATTTTATTATTCCAATCAGATGGTTAGTCTACAATATACCTTACCTAAAATTGGATTAAAACATCTTTTACGCGGAATATTATCTAAAAGATGAATTGCATTTTTTTTCAATCAAAATATCACGCATTTATAGTTATATAATAACTATCAACCGACATGAACGAATAACAATCATTACGTATACCTATTTCAAATTATAAGGTTAGATCGAAAGTATAAGTTATACGGAAGAGTTCACGGGTTAATATGGGCGTGGGAGGAGACAGACCAAGTGTTTTTATAAAATCGAGGATTTATCAAGAATTGCATGCAGCACTATATTATGTTAATTTATTATTATAACTTTCACATTTTTATTCACTTTATTAAATCAACTTGTTACTTTTAAATTGACTGACCGGTGCGCGGTGTTAGTGAGTTGCGGCCCAGGTTCATGAGAGGTACGAATAACGATCGTACAATAATATTTTCTAGTATTGTCGTATAATAATATTTGTCATTTTAATAATATCATACAATGTAATAATAAAATTTTCATATATTAGTAATGAGTTTTTGCATTTCTATAAACAGGTACATAGGTAATGATAATTACTCGGGCCGCAACTAACCCACGGCAGACCGGTGACGACTATATTATGTGGTTACCGAAATATTATTATCGAAAATGATAATAGCATAGTATGTCTGTTGTAGATTTACCTGGGGTTTTTCACCATCAGTTTTTTCATGAGATCAATGGCATCCTCAGATATATCCTGAAACAGTTCTTCAGGAAAATCGAGTTTACATTGTGATATGTTACAGAATGTTTCCTGTTTGGTGTTACCACCAAACGGTGAGCACCCAGTTAACAACACGTACATTAGGACTCCGACAGACCTAAAGTATAACACATAAAAACAAAATTAGCGACAAGGGAAAAATAATATTTAGTCCGTTCGATAACTTACCACATGTCGGTTTGTACATCGATTGGTTCGTAGTTTAGTACTTCGGGCGCTATATAGTCGGGCGTACCTAGTATTTCTCGCACGTCAACCCCTTCACTAAGGTATCTGGATATGCCGAAATCGCATAATTTTACATCACAGATTGGGAAGTCAGCAGTTAGAACTAAATTTTGTGGCTGTAATTATTTTAAAATAAACATTGAATTAGTTAAAAATATTCATCAACTTGGTAGCAAAAATTAATATATAAGCTAAACGTGAACTATTAATACCCATTCATACGTGTAATATAATATAAATTAATTTTGTAGAATTCAAACTGATAGGAATACATAAAAAAAAAAATGAATCATGGGAACGAATTATATTTTAAGAATAAGAATCGGAAGGTATGAAATAGCATTTCCAACATTTATAAACATAATGCCAATATTTATCTGTTTTACAAAATTGTAATTGAGACTGTGTAAGAAGGTATAATTGTGTAAAATGCAAATTGGACGGTTTTTTTTTTTACGCGCATGTAGTGCTATAGTGTATACAATGGGGTACAAACACTAGAAGTACACATATTTTTAAAAGTTATTTAACAATCGAATGAATTAATATAGAAGATTCGGAGTAGCAGTTTTTGGAACAATTATTTACGCTGCGTTATTAATTTTATTATCATCAGGTGTTGGTTTGCAAAAACATATTATTTTTCGTTCGCCCGTCGTGCGAACTGCACACTTTTCGGTCAGCGGCTAAACCATTTATGTAACTTATGCAAGTGAGGCGTATACTACACAAACTAAATGTTTTTTTCTGCGGATTTCATAGTGAAACGCAGTCCTTGTGTACTGAGAAGAAAATATGCAGAGAAATAATAAAAATAATAAATGGCACAAACGACGTATGAAACATACGGAGACGACGACAAAATACGTATATAAGCAGTACACAGAAATCACGTTGCGCAACTATGCCCCAGTGACAATCTAATAATAATGTTATTATGAATCAGTGATACGCCGTTTGAGTCGTTGGTTTACGTTGCAAATTTTTTAACAATCGAATAAATACACGTGTAGTTGCTGAATATAAAACGTATACCATACATTTGTATAAATAAAAAAAAACTTTACATCTTATCCGGTATGAAAAAAAGAAAATAATGGACTGTAGACAGAAAACGAAAACGCTTAAAAATAAATAAATAGCATTCGATTTGTCTTGTAGAAAAACGATTCCTACAGGTTAAACGAACTATAACCACATATATTATTACTTAAGACCGTACGCGATATTGATTAATATTACGCGTACAGCGAGAAAAGTTAACACCGAATCTGAACGAGTTTTGACTAATCATTTCCGAACCAATTACACGATGACTTTTACGGCCGAAAAATAAATTTCTATTTCTAACGTGTGTGCACGTATTGCGTATTAAATAACGCTATCGTTTGTTACGACAAAACCTATTATAACAAAATGCATATAGTCATCTGCCATTGCTGCAGCAATACCTTCTAGTGTATTAAAAATACACACGTGTATTAAATCTAAACATCGAATCGATGAGAGCTCTTCGATACTCGTATGATAAATTACTGGAAACTAAACTCGAAAAGATTTGTCTTTGTTTTTTCAATTTTTTTCAATATATCTGCAGTGATAAAACGATATCATTTAATGATAATAAAGAAATAACATATAATAATAAATAATAATAAATATCATACACGTAGCAGCGGTGGCGCATTATATAATAAAATATTATTTAACAGACGTACCAAATAAGAAGAATAATAGATTACGATGCAACGCACATGGTTACAGGTTTGATCGACGGTATAGTTAAAAACCGATAGTAATAATAAAAATTGGCATTGTTCATTGTTAAGGCTGTACGTAATAAACTCGTCATAACGTTATACCATACAATATTTAATCGGTGATGAAATAATAAATATTTTACCTAATTACTATTGTTACTTTCTGAAACCATACCGATTATTGTACACTATAACAACGAAAATTGCAGAGATTTAATTCTAGTTTAATAAAAAAAAAAATAACATCTTTCAACTTACTAACAAGGAAATTTTTTTTTAAACTAAACGGATAATTCAGCCGTATTTTACTGTAAACCAAGAATTGTATCTATAGATTTTGAAAGCTAATAAAAGCGTCCTCATAATATCGACAATTACATACGACGCGGAATGAAACGTTTCTACGATATACTCATAACATATAAAGTTGTTTGGTACGTGTTTAGATATTAATATCAAAACCGTCGTCGTTGTTGAAACCCGAAACGTGTAAATGTTCACATTCAATTTCTAGAAACGGGACAGCATCAGGGAAAGTATAAAATTATAAAAAGTACTCGGAGGAGTCGCGTATACTTTTCAAGCGATCCAGTCCGAATTCCTGATACACAATTATTTGTCGTACGCAAACCCGTCTGCACTCGAATTTTTTAATTGCTTTCTCGGCGAAAAATTCACCGGACCGTGAATTAAAACATGAGAACCAGGATGCATTATTAATAGGCTGCACTTCTCCACGGTCACATATAATAGCTCTACAGGTATATATATTAAGCCCGACAACAATGCCTACAAAGTTTGTTGTACATTAGGTCTCCTCCTCCGCTGAAGTAAAAACCGAGCGCATATCCTGCCGCCACAGTTCTCACCGCGACTATATTAGTTACATTACGCATACACCGGGGGAAAAGAAGTAAGCATCCGTGTAAAACAGTATGTTTTTCCTCTTGAAATTTTCTCAATCACATATTATTAAAAAGTGAAATTCAAAAGAATTTTTTTTTTTTTTGGTAACCAACTCGTATAAAATATATTTTGCAGTATTTTTCATCGTTTTGTCTCGGTCGTCGCGAATAATTCCTATATTTTCATTCGAATCGTACACATACACATACGTACAAATCAAAAACATAAGATTTTTTAACAGTGTAAAGCAAAGATGACGATATTACGGAGTGATAGACTTTTTTAAGTATGAGAGTAATGATGGGAGGAATTAATTTACGGCGGCAGGGCGAATATTTGACATGTAGTTAATTAACAAAACAAATAATAGTTAATAACAACTTGACAACTTAAATGTAAATCGTATATAATCTAGTACACAGTTGGAAGTAAGCGAATGTAAATAAATATACACAATCATGAAATTTTCTTACAGCAAAGCTACAATGATCTATCATAAAATATAGTTTATAGTATATACGATCGATATACTTACATATATTATGTTTAAGTATATTGTACATACATATTACGGTGTTATTCGATTGATTAAAAAAACGATGAAAGTCAATATAATTCGATACGATTAGAAATCAAGTTTTAGTTAGTCACATGCATTTAAGATCATTAGTATATAATTGATTTTTTATATATTAATTTAAAAATCGTTAATAACCAATATTTCTTATATGAATAAAATTGTTAAATAAAAAGTCAATCGTACATTCCGGAGTAGTAATAATAATAATAAAATAAGAAAAAAAAATGCATTTTAAGAACGAAGTATACATTTTACTTGTTTCCGGTGACAATATTTCTAGTTAAAAGTTGAAACATCGTTTAAATAAATACATATTTTTTTTAACTGGTCCCGGAATATCGTATTGTCTCGGGTGCAATGCTTCCATGAATACCGTTTTTACACATAATACGTATTTCAACAATTACATTCATCACCACTAGGTCTCACACTTATATTGTAATAAGAATATTATACACACATGGAAGAAAAAGAAAAGAAAAACAATTTATCCACCGACAAGGTATCCGGGAAGGGGAGAGTGATTTTTACAACCGTCGGTCAACTACACGTAGTCCCACTTTAACGAAACCTGCGTGGTTTAACGACTGAAGGAAAACAAAAAATAAAATGCAACGTGCGTAAAGAAAAAAAATATACGTATGCACTACACTTTAATACAAGTCTTAAGAAATAAATCTTTTACTAGCCATTATATATTATACGAGCGGGTACGACACTATTATTAGAAATCGTTCGAATATAGTAAACGAAATCGTTGTTTTTACTATACACTCGTCCTTACCTTGATGTCTAGATGCGCAACGTTTATGGAGTGCAAGTACTGCAACCCATCGAGTATCTGTCGCATGAGCCGAGCCAACTCCGGCTCAGATGGCACTTCGTCCCGGTCCAAGAGCATTTGTAACTCACCACCAGGTGCTCTAAAGAAACAAACAAGTGCACCACATTAGAAAATAACATAATTTTCATAAAAAAAAAAAAAATTACACGACGACGTACAATACTAGTGTATGGATATAATTTTAACGAAAACGAAATTCCACAACTGAAAATATGAAAACCGAATAAATCATTTCATTGCTTTATAAAACTAAACGAAAAACACTTTATAGAATGTGAACTATCTAATACGATTACATGTTTTTAAACAATTCATTGCTTATAAACATGTTTGTTTAATATTTATATTCTACATTTTGTAAAAACAATTTGAATGAATCACACTATTTACACATAAAAATACTGCAATTTAATATAGCTATACACTTTTCAGTAATACCTAAATGTTGTTTTGAATATTGACTAAACAGTAATTGCATAAAATGTATATAAAATGGAAGGTATACGCGACACATACGCATACAAAAGAATCAATTGAAGAAGTAAACTTATGTTACTTCGTTTTGAATAAAATACACTTGTTTTTAATTTTTAAATTTGTAGTTTGTTTTCTCAAAAAAAAAAAAAAAAAAAAAATACATGTATTTACGCATTTCAAAACAATTAAAAATATTTATCAAATTGCTGAACGCGTAAAAAAATTTCGTTTCGAGAACGATTAGTACTTGTTCCGTTATTGTTAATATTTATTATTATTTATTAAGTTTATTATTAATGTACTATAATGAAGTTTTTCATGTTACACGCTAAACAAAAAAGCAGTACTTGTAAAGAGGTCCAACGGCGAAACAATTAAGCTAAAATTGGCGCCGAGGGAAAAATAATAAAAAATTATGTTGGGCCGTGACATAACGCAAGAAATAAAGCACAAATAAAATATACTATATCGGTACACAAATAGCGCGCACGTGATGAACATGCATTAAAAACGATACTTACAATTCTAGTAACAATATCATTTCGGTGCTGGTTTCGAACACTTTGTAGAGGTTAACGATACGGCTGTTGGACGTACAAGCCTCTAGCACGGCCACTTCGTGTAGTATTTCGGGTCGCAGGTCAGCGTTTCGCCGGCGCTTCCGAAGAAACTTGGCCGCGTATTGTTTACCGGTTTGTTTGTCTCGACACCGTCTGACTGTCGCATACTTGCCCCTGCGGAACAAAAATAATAAATAAATAAACACAAGCTAAAACGTTCATTCATTTTACGACAATGTAGAAACAAAGGACCGTCGATCGAGTACTCCAACACGGACCGTTATAACAATGTATAAATATTGTTAGGACACAAAAATATCGGCAGATGATATCGTATATGTTACATTCGTATATATTTGTGATTACGGTTATCCAGAAGAATTGCGCAAACAAGACGTACGACGATTCGTGTGCACAGAGACATTTATTTTTTTTTTTTTAGTCGACGACAAGTGCTGACAGGAAGTTTTTGCGATGCATAATGAAGGGGCCACGGCTTATAATGTACACGATGATGTACACACCTTTGGAAAACAATGGCGGTTGCTGGTGAAAATATGCGAATTTAAATTGGACGTTAGGATTACAAACACGGTTATTCATTTAAGACGCGCTTTGATGGCATCTTCATATTCGTACCATACACATATGCATACATGTATTGTAAGTCGAACACCGCATAGAACGTATAGGGCAACTGGCACTATGCAATGCGGGTAAAAAATAAAAGATTTCGAATAGATTTTCAATTAACATACATCGGATTGGAGTGATTACGATTATATTTTTGACTTTAAGAGGATATTTATTGCACACGTTAAAAGCTGTTGTTTTGTAGTACACGCGCCATTTAAATCTGCTCCCAACGTAACAATAATACAGACAATCCATATCGATTGCGCAATTATATATAAAATTTTTACAACATTAATTAGGATTACGACAGTGCAATTCAAAGCGGAAAACTTGTACAATGTGAAACACCGCGAGGGCACGCATGTATCTTTGATTTCCGCAGACATGCGTGAATAGGTACTAAAGTCGTACTACCAGGTGTACGATTTCGCCGTCATCGTCTTCTACCTACTCATCATGTCTTTCGAAACCCGTTAAAACATAATATCTTTGTCTATGCGCGTACAACGGTGACCATAAAAAAAAATCGAATTTTGCGAAATTTCCAGATATAAACGCGACAAAACGGCCGCGGTATTGCGACACGTACGGCCGACCGGTGGCGCCTATCAAGGTCGCTAATTCGCACATCCTACTCTATACGGACGTTTGTAATGCACATGAAATTTAATACATAGGAACAGGATGTATAAAAAAACATCGACGGTAAAAAGTTGGGTAGATGATTACACCTATATAAAAATCTTTTGATTAATGCTAAATAAAATTTATAAAACATTATTGTTCATTGAACCACACAAAAAGTTGTCGATCATTTTTATAATTTGAAAAGGTAATGATAAAACGATAATACGGAACTTTTCAGGATATACAAATGAGCAATAAACTAGAAGGTAACTTTTAACAAGAATTGAGACCACCAAATTGGAAGCTCATTGTTTCTTAAGTATGCATTCATCATATCCATAGGGTACTGATAAAGTAAAAATGGTGATAATGTCCTTAGATTTTCAACTTCAATTGAATATACGAGTATCAAGTTTAGGACATATGCAATCCAGTTTATCGTGTATAACTGTATTTTCCTGTAAAAATTTCAACATATTAAGACCTAGAGATATACAACATTGTATAGCCCGGACCGCATACGTTATGATATAGGTATTCGATCTTTTTTTTTTAGTCTTTTGTTATAATATATATTCCATTATTATTATTATTTTAACACAGCATTAAAACGGTATCGACGAACGATTCTTGGGAAAATGCTGATTGTCTATACACGGCATCATAGATATGTACGTAATATATACACGACGCATCACGTGGTCGATAATAAAGTTATAATATGTACTTTTTCTCACGTCGAATAGGCACTACTTGTCGTCGATGTTTCGTCATGCGTTAACCCCATTTTACCGGCGTAACGAAATTCTCAATTTATATTTCACTGCTAATACTAATGCGTACAAGAAAAAAATATATAATGAAATCACTTTGCTACCACCAACATAGTAAGTTTGAATAAATGGACCACCGAGGGGGTTAAATCGTTGCGATTTATTAACTTAAATACGTTATGTAAACAGTAAAACTGTCTAATAAAACTTTAAACGCGACAGTTTATTTTTTCGTCTTGTTGCGCCCGTCAAGGTTGTATTTGATTTTTTTTACTATCGCGGTCAATTGTTATACGTGTAGTTATTAAATATAATACCTACATTATATACATACATCTAAGTGAGAATAAAAATACAAGAAGCACCGCTTTATGACCAGGAGAAAAATATTTTTCTTGTTTGTCGGTATTCGTATGATTAGTAATTACTGCACCTATTCAGGATATTTAAACAAAACTCGTCCCACTGCGCGTTGTGTTCGCGATATCAATTACACACACGCATCGTATGCAGTGACCGAGTATTCCTATAGTTACAACCACGTTGCGACAACAAAAGATTGCGTATAGAAAAACACTTTTGGATCTTAGTCAAAGTTGACTATCAGTTTTGACTTTCTATTCGATTTGCCGTCTTGCGCACAAACATCTCGGTGAACCGAGTAATTATGTTACATTTTAGATAACAGTAACGTTTCGAGTTATGTTATTCAAATATATTATGTTCTATTCTTGAGAGAAATAATTACCATATAAATCAAAAAAAATTTTTAACGTTCATCACAAACACACACACACACGCACGCACACACACACACACTCACACTCACGTGATACCTAAGATATGACGCTTACTTGTTCTGCGCAGTACAAATTGTACAGTACAAAACATAGGTATTCACGTGGCCAAATATATAATAACAACACGTACCAACTAAATTCTAATGCATATGGGTACATATATACAAACATAGAAAATAGTTTTATTGTGTAACGTTACATTGTCATCGGATTTTCAGCTGTGTACACTTTCACTGTTTATACCGTTGCGTTGATAGCATTAAATATGAGTATAGTTACCACTCACACATTTACGGACACTCAAAGTTGACACTATAAATATATATTACACACACAGATAAATTAGGTACCTATTACATAGTTAACGATAAACTTGAAATTATTTATGCATCTACAGTTATATGCATGTGTTTGGCGCAAAAGTAAATACAGATGTTTTTTGACGTGAGTTTAGAAAAAAATTAATGTAAACACGAGGCCGTATTTTAACAACGCATCGAAAAAAATGTTACTTTAAAAATTATTACAATATTTTGATGAAGAGAAAAAAACTATATACTGTGAAAAACAACAACTATTTTGCCTATAGGACGTCCTATAGTACGTCCTATAGGACGTACTGTAGAAACGATGTTAATTACGACGAATAATGTCCAATGGGCGTATATACGAATTATTAAACCGTATACGTAAAAGTATACGTAAAAGTAATTTTCAAACACTATACATTTATTAGAATGTATCAGGTATGGTAAAAATGTACAGTTCGTTTACATAATCGATACAATTCATGATTTTTAACAATAAAAGTCGTGTACGGTTAAACTCATTTCACCACATACCTTAATTAATCATGCAGATAATCATAGTATAATATACTATGATAACTAAAAAAAAATAATGGTAATGTATTATAGTTTATATAGTAATGTAAATCATAAAATATAAATTTAGATTCATCTAAACAATTCAACAGACGGATAATAAAAATCAAGACTTGATCGACAATTTCGTTTGTAGCAATGCGAATTACATCGATCTTATAATCGGGTTAATTAATCGAAAACTTTAACGGTGGTCAAACACGTCTGTCTCTATGATGAAATTAGGTCTCGTTCGCTGTTCTAATAATGAACTTTCTAGATGAGAATCTTTCGAATCGGCTGATAATATGGATGATAGATAGCAATAGGAAAAATATACCAAATAAATTAAATTTGTATATGGTCAAAAATCATCAGCAGTCATAATTAAAATATTATTGGAAAATATTTAACATCTCAAATAGAATAATATTATCTCGAACCAACAATTATGTGCGAGTGTGAACGGACAAAATAAATATCACAGAAAATAATGATCCAAAACGAACGCAGATGTAAACAATAAATAATAATTGCAACAAAAATTGTTTTATTTTGATTTTTATCAAGTGTCAGCGTAACATCATGCAAGAGGACTTATTTTTGCGAGCTAGTCCCGTATTTTTTGATATTTTTATTGACATTGTCAAACGAATCGTGAGATCGTGACAAGAATAGTTAAAAGACGATCATTCCCGGACGCGTACTACATAAAATTGACTATCTTTGTGTACACACATAAACAGGAATGAACGCGACGACAAAACGGTACGTTAGCATGCGTCTCGCATACGCAACTAGGCGACGAGGTTATTTCGCGTGTAGGTCCGTCCGAGAGGGAAAGAAAAAAACGTAGTGTATGTATACAGCCGTGGCTGTTGACCGCGTTTTGTTCAGCAAATTGAGTCGTCCGACGAAGGCACATGGTATTTCATATGCGTATGCACCATATAAACCACAACTACTATACTGCTACATATAGGTTATTATAGACATTGTCCTTGCCCAGACGCAGAAAAATAATTTTTTTTTTCACTCCATAGCAGCACCAATGGCAATATTCTCATTACACGCATCCGCACCCGCCGACGCCAATCATTCCGACCGATTATGCAAACACTGTCGTCGTATTTTATTTCTTTTGTTATTATTATTTTAATCACAGCCGCCCACACCGTATGTAGCGCAATACCTTTGACAGCTTGACAGGAAATAAGGTGGAGCGCTACCGTAAGGGCGAGAAATAGTCGGAGACTTCAATACCCGACTACTTGGTAAACCAATAAAATATACGAAAAACGTAACATACTACGGTACAGAACTATATTTTTATGAAAACTGTGAAAATATGTAGAAAACATGCAACGACAGTACATAGCTTTTAAAAATCAAAAGATTATTATTTTTCTAGATAATATATTTTCAACAATACTATTAGGCAGTTGAATACGTAATATTAACCGATTTTCAAAAATACGTAAAAGTATTATAGAAGACGAAAACTATATTA